CAAATAACCCTAATGCTAACTATAAGGGTAAAGGTAAAGGTTCCCCTCACACGTATGTGCTAGTTGTTCCCGATTTAGAGGGCAGTGCTCATCTCCGTTTCAAAGCTGAAGAGCCAGCGCTGTCCGAAGATGTCTCCGTGGTCATGTGGCCAACATGACTAAATGCCAAAGGTGCACGGAACGGTGTTACTTTCCCATCAAAGGTGATCCCTATTTTTCTACTTGTATTTTTTACGTGCTTTTGAACTACTAGGTTGGCAGAAGCTGGGACAAGTAATGGGAGCTCACTCCGTTATACAGCACTAAGGATTCGAACCACTGAACTGCTGACCTTTCTCATCAACAAGTTCAGTGCCTTAGCCACTGAGCCACTGTGTAACTACATGCTAACTAAAGCTAACTTTAAAAATAAGACTTGATATTGCTGAATATAATTTTTAATTGTTTGGTACAATTTAATTGCAAGATAGTACAAACTCAAATACACCTCCAAGAATATAAAGGCTTCTCTGATCAGGTTTTTCTTCATTTAAGAAGCAACACACAATATACTGCTCAGGGCTATTGTTTAGGAAAGGCTGTTTTACAATAACCAATTTTCATTTTGGTATCTAGATTGTTGCTAAAGATGACACCAATTTGATGTATCATAATGATTAAATCAATCACAAAGTTGTCTGATTATATTATGTAAGAATTTAAACTGTAAAAGTGGGAGTTAAAACATAGAAGATCAAACCAAAATATTGTTAAAAGTACGCCCTTGCATATTTTGATTGCCATCCAAAATCCATTCTCCAAATTGATTTTGTTTTCTTAAATATATTCCATCAGGGCACTATTAATTGTGTTAGGGTGGAACTGTCTTTTCTGGTCCATCATGCAAAATATTTAAATCTAATATCTACAGAGAAAACCATCTGGATCAATGTTGTGAAATGTCTCAAAGTTGTGGATTATCTACAAATAGTGAGGAAATTCAAGAGGCAAAAAAAAAAAGGCTTCGAAGTAGGACAATAATACAAAAGAAATTGCCAATCTGAGCAAAAGCCTAAATGAAGCATTTAGTTCAGAAACTGAATAGTATGCCTGTTATTTATTTCTACAGGCCCCACATTTCTGGATAAACAACAAAGAATACTCTCTGAGTTACAGACCTCTCTTTACAATCCTCAGAATGACAGATTTCAACATGAAAAATACTGGATGAAATTACGGAAATACAATGTATCTGGAGGGCATCAATTCAAGTAAGGTTAATCTATGACATTTATTCAACTGTAACCAGATTGTAGCTGGGATGATTAAAGAATGGCAGAAACTGCAGGAACTGACAATTTGCCTGCAGCATTCTCCTTTGCAAAATAATTCTAGGTGGAACTCTTTCCTCTTTTGCTGCAACCGCTGCTGCAGCTGCATAAATTTTGAATTGCTCATGCTCAAATATTAAAGCAATTTCAATTATAGATAAAAGCCTCATAAATATGTTCATTTTTAACATTATATTGATAAAATGATTGCCACAGAAAAGGTAAAGCTTATAAGGATGTTTCCCCATTTTCCCATGAGAAATCCGTTCTTCAAAACAACACAGTCGGGGTGCATTGCATTACACTTTAAGCATCCTGGCACAAAAATAGATAACAACAGATTTTCAATTTTTTAAAAAAAAATCATAGCAAAAGTGGATTGAACTGGCATGGCCTGTGCTTTGATATTAAATAACATGGAGAAGCCCTTCAAACCCATTAAGACACTAGCTGGTTCAGCCAAAAGGTCTACCGAGCTACTACCAGTGGTGGGTTTCAAAAAATTTTAGAACCTCTTCTGTAGGTGTGGCCTGCTTTGTGGGAGTGGCTTGCTGGCCATGTGACTGGGTGGGAGTGGCTTGGCAGTCATGTGACTGAGTGGGCATGGCCAACTTGTAAAATGTGGTGAAACTCACTTAACAACACTCTTGCTTAGCAACCAAAATGTTGGCTCAGAAACTCTGGCATTTGAAGCACGCAAGTCTTAAAGCTGTCAAGTTACAAGACCCTTGCACCCCTAACCCTTTAGAAAAAAAAAACCCAGGGGTGTTCAAACTTGACAGCTTTAAGATTTGTGGATGTCAACTCCCAGAATTTCTCCTCTCGCTCTTCATCTTGATGATGTGCGGATGGGCAGGGGGAGGGAGCTGGAACTGGTTCTAAACGGCACTGTAGATTTGTGGAACCTCTTCTATAGAAGAGGTTAGAACTGGCAGGAACCCACTCCTGGCTGCTACTGAAGACAATTCTCTGAATATTGATAAAACGGATGAAGCACTGATAGAACCATACTTTCTTGGAAGAAGTTTAACTTTAGAACATCAGTACAAAGAAAATGCATCTCTTAGTGACCTTATGATCTTGAAAGGTATATTTCAGATAGTTAAAATTATTATCTGCTCCACTATCAAAATAGAATTGGAAAAAAATATTTATCTTTGCCCTTTCTTGCTTAGACCATGATGATCTAAATGACCCAGCTAATTCTTTGCCACATTAAAAATTATTTTAAAAGATTTAATTTAAATTATGTTGCAATTTAAATTTTCTTTAGATTATGAGAGCAGCACAAGAATCCCAAAACCCAAATGTCACGTGTGCTGCAAGAAAGTAATTAGCTTAAGTGTACAACACCAAAGCCTTTTCATACACAGGTAGTCCTTGACTTACAACAGTTCATTTAGTGTCCATTCGAAGTTACAACACTGAAAAAAGTGACTTGGGATCATTTTTCGCACTTTCAACTGTTGCAGCATCTGCATGGTCAGGTGATTAAAACTGAGGTGTTTGGCAACTGACTCATATTTATGATGGTTGCAATGTCATGTGGGGTCATGTGATCAAATTTTTTGACCTTCCAACAAGCAAAGTCAATGGGGAAGCCAGTTTCACGTGTAACAATTGCAATGATTCACTTAAAAAAAAGTGGCAAGAAAGGTTGCAAAATGAGGCAAAGTTCATTTAACAACTGTCTCACCTAGCAACGGAAATGCTGGGCTCCATTGTGGTCGTAAGCCAAGGTTTACCTATATTGATACAAAAGTGTCTAGTGCTATGATGGCGAACCTATGGCACACGTGCCAGAGGTGGCCCGCAGAGCCCTCTCTGTGGGCACTCGCACCACCACCAGCCACCTGGTGTTCAGTTCATGCATGCTGCCAGCCAGCTGGTCTTTACACACACCGGAGCACCGGAAACCTGAAGACCAGCATGCGCACGCCAGCCACCTGGTGTTCAGGTTTCCGGCATGCACCGGCTAGCTGGCCTTTGGGTCAATGGTGCTCCAGCATGTGCGTGTGCATGTGCATTTCAATTTGAGCGTTCGGTGCCGAAACTGGTCTAGTGACACAAAAAGGCGATAAAGAGCATCATAGTATGCCATCAAACATAGGTTAATCAAATAAAACATTCTTACTGTGAAACAGAGTTGCAAAACAAAGCCATTTGTTAGCTGACAGAATTAATTATTAAGCAGAAGACCTATATTTGGTTTAGTTACCAGGTTGACATATATTTTTCCCCAAGATCAGTATCTAGAAAGTATTGTTGCAAGCCACAGAAATTTACTTGTAGTGCTACAAACACCCATAATCTTTTGCTGTAATGTATTACCTGAATTAGGGTCCTATGTTTGGCATTGCAACTAAATGATGGACTCCATTTTCCTGTGAGTTTTAGTAATCAAGTTCTACTTTCGGGGTTCTGTAGTACTTTTAAAGGAGGATCTATATCAGTGATGAATTTTATGTCACCCTGGATTTTAAATTTTTTCTTTGACCTGCAGTATTCAACAACTCCTAGCACATTTCTATCCTAGCTAAATAATTGCCTTGACAAATTTGTCCCCCTTCTCCCCCACTTCACCCAGCAGTTTACCTTGCAACATGGCAGAGGTGGTATAGTAATTAAAAGGAACATTCTTCACCAGGTACTGCTCGGAATCCAAGAAAGACAGCTTATCTCCGACAATCACAGACTTTCCCGTGCCTGCATTTCCCACCAGCATGACAGGCCTGTGTCTCTCCAAGAGATGATCCATGAAATAGCGCACCCGGATGGTTTCATTGGTATGAACCAGACAGGCCTGAAAGGGATATGAGAGGCATTTACTAGGAGACTCAGAACATCCCAGCCACAGAAGTCGGGTAGGTCTGTTCAGTAAGTGGCATTGCATGACAATGTTTCATGAGCAATTATTCTTATACCTTTATACTTTAAATACCCCTTATACTTAAATAGCTTCAATCATATTCAAAGTGTGGAATACAGGTAGTCCTCAACTTGCAACCACAGCTGATACTGGAATTTCTATCGCTAAGAAATGCAGCCATTAAACAAATAATCATGTGACCAGGTCCAATTTTACAACAATTTTTTCAGCAGTCATTAAGCCAATTGTGTGGCTGCTAGGTGAATCACATGGTTGTTAAATAAATCTGGCTTCCTCAGTTGACTTTGCTTTACAGAAGCTGTTTGGGAAGGTCACAAATCATGATCATATGATAACAAGACACTGCAACCATCATAAATGCAAGCTGGTCACATGATTGAATTTCAATCATGTGACCTAGCAGGTGGTGCAAAGGTCATAACTTCAAGGACAAATCTTGAGTCACTTTTTTCAAGGCTATCATAACTTTGAGCTATTGTTAAACAAACAGTCATAAGTCAAGGACTACTTCGATATGTGTGGTGACTTCTTTGACATCTTTTTTATCATTTTGCAAAGATAGACCTAAGAATCAGGCTCTGAGTTCCAGTGATATGACGCCACTAGATAGCAAGTTCAGAATTAAGAGAAAGAACATAGGTTGTTTATATCAATTTAGCAGTAGGCTTGTTCTACTTAGAATTCTTTTTGTTTGATTGGCTCATGAATAAACTGCTTTACATTTTTAATATTTTAATTTACCAATAATCTCATCCAAATTAAATTGTGCAAGATGTTCGTCTAACTCCAGAAAAAATATACAGTATCCCCTAAATCAGTGCTTCCCAAACTATTTCTTTCATTACCCAAAACTGCTTGTCAGAAAGTCTTTATTTAAATGTCCCTGTTGTGACTGAGTAATGGGTTTGTGTATCATTACCTAAAGAAATACCACTTTTATCCAATTCTGGATAATTTACCCAGGGGTTGTAAGCACTTTGCTGTAGATCTTTTCTCACAATAACAACAGTGGAATTTTCAGCAAAATATTATGTAATGGCAGCATCTAACAGAATTTGTTTCCTGTTTTCTATTTCCAAAATTCACAGTGACCTTCCTGAAAATGATTGGAGATGGGATCCCTGCAGTTCCATTCTTATATCATCAAGACAACAAATGGAAATCCAAACAACTAACTATAGAGTAGAATCAGACTAATAATGCCTGTAAAGACTTTTGAGCTAAAACTGGCCAAATTACAAAACCTCTCCCTCGTTGTCAAGAAGGCCAAAATTGCAAAAAAGAAAAAGAAAGAAAGCCTCAGAATGGCCTGATTTGCTTTTTTTTTTTTTTTTTTTTTTTGCCTCCCTAAATCATGCCAGCATCATTCTTCTCCTGTCACCAGCTTGAGACTCAGCATTAACTTGTAGCAACTGCAGAGCCTCAAGCAGAAAAAACAACAGTTCAAGATATCTCTGCTACGGAGATAAACAGATGCTGCTGCATGGAGCATGGATGATGTATACACCCTCCTTGCCCAGTGTTTTCTGTAGCTTAAGAAACTAGTATGTAAAAAAGGCAGCAGGCTTTTGTGCTATAATTATAAATTTAAATAAATATGTTATAAATATAAATAAATTATAAATTTGATTAATAATAATAATAATAATAATAATAATAATAATAATAATAATAATAATAATGTTGCATGGAAGGAGGTTAAAACCATCCTGATGATCCCTAGTGAACAATTCAACCTTGAAAAGACCAACTCTAATGGAAACACATGCAAATGAAGTCAAATTTGGCAAGAAAACAGCAATTGCTTCATTATTATCATTATATTTATTTGTGCATTACACGGTACCAAAATGTGGATGCCAAAAATGAATATGAGCAGAGGAGGAAAAGGAAGAGAGGAGGATTGATTTAAAAACTGGACTATATAGTAGGTTTTCTTTTAAATAGAATTCCTAGAAAAAAGGGCCATACATACAGTATTCCTTGCACTAATGACGATAATGATGGAGCAATTGCTGTTTTCATGCCAAATTTGGCCCCATTGCATGTGTTCCCACTGAATTAAATAGAACCTGTGATAACAATCACATTTTAATACAATTAGACAAAAAAAGTACATACATAAAAATTAATAAAATCACATCACACTAAGTTCAAGAACAACAGGTTGTTCTTTCAGGAAGACACTCACACTCTCTCTTATGACACAATTCAGATCTCTAAGTTCTCACCAAATTATTTCCGAATCAGTTTGTAATAAATAAACTGATAAATCCTAACAGCTTATCAGTATGTTTGACAAATAGACAACTATGCTTCTCAGTGTAAAGACTGGCTTCAAAAATAATGTGTAAATAAAATAATTAATTTGGAGACTGAGGTCTCACACATTCTCTTCCAACTATGTTTGTGCCTTTAACATTCTCTGTCTCATATAACCGCATAAATGAATTACTCACCTGTAATGGTATTTCTCGGTCAAATTCAAATTTGGGGATCAGCTTGGACCAAGGTTCAATTTTTTTTGTTTCCGAATCAATATAAAAGTCAAAAACTGTTCCTTGGGAAGGAAACTTGATGGTCTTGAATTCAGTCACCCACCATTTACTGAATTCAACTCTATAGTCTACAAGCTTCCAAAAAAATAGAGAAAATGAGTTTTAATGAATATACATTTTTTTGCTATATTATTCTAATAAATACTGAAAGGCAATCCAGTGAATTATTATCTGAGAGTCAAATCCTACTTACAATTTGCTTGAGAAGTATTGGATATTTACTTATTATTCTAAGTTTGGGGACAGATCTTTGTAGGATCCCTTTGAGCTCTGATTTTTCTGACCTCTATGTGGATACCCTAAAACAGGTGGCTTTTAAAATCAGCCAAAAAAGAATACATAATGGAAGACATTCTGGGGACATAGGTGGGAAATAGGAAGACCCAAGATGGCAATGGAAATGGGTGAAGATAACTTTCTTTCCTGATTGGATGATGAATAAGATAAAGATATAGCAGGAAAAGAGAGCAAAGTGAGAGTGGCTTGAGCTGCAAAAGCAACTGATAGTTGACTTTGTTTCCTGCAGATAGTTTGAAATCCTCTCCATCAGCAGCAGGGACTAGTTCCATGGACCAGTTCCATGGAGAAATGTTCTTCCAAGGACCAGAGGGAGTAGTTTCACATGCTGCCTACATCCTGCAGTTGGGGCTTTGCTTGTTTGTTACTGGTATGCCATGGACTGATGTAGGTAAATGGACCAGAGGTTGGGGGCCCTTGCTCTAGATATCAGGCAGAGGACAAGATTCTATTGGAACGTTAATGCTACCAGTTCCTTATTGTATAAAACAATAAACATGATGATTCCCTTAAGTCTTGCTTTAAATACTGATGATGACTACCTGGACACAGCCATGCAGTTTTCTGGACAACAAAGTATAAGTGGTTTGCCACTAACTTCTTAGGATTTTTTTTTCTTTGACTTCTCAGTCTAGACTACAGTCCTGATGAATCTCCTAAACAAGTACTTATCCTTAGCCTTTTTTTTTTTAAGATTAACCAAGACTGCATTGGTCTCTTCGTTGCTATGACCTGCATCATATACTCAATCCAATAATATACATATTGTGCTATAAATTCCACATCCTTCTTCCCAGAAAAAGTTATTTCTGCCTAAGTTTAACTAATAACACTTGTCATAATGCTGAAACAGGACACATACAGGTAAACTTCTGTATTTCTCCCCCGCATTTTATCTTGGCAATTTTATAATTCCTAAATAAGCAGCTTACATGATAGAAGACATCTCATTCAAAACTGCAGATTTAACTGCACATGTATAGAGTTACCCTGTGGTAAGATGGGTGGATGAGTGGGTGGATGGATAGATGGATAGACAGACAGACAGACAGACAGACAGACAGACAAGTAGGTAGGTAAGGCAGGCAGGCAGGGCAATTTACTCAGTGGATTCACTCAGATTCACTGAATGAAGAATGTCCAGCACTAACATCAAGCAATGCACTGTACTAGAGATATTTCCACAAACGCACAGGTCACAATTGTGCGTAGTTCAAAAGTTGAGCTACTAGCTACCCAGATTATTGTGGTTGCTCCTTTAGTATCCATGATACTATGGAAGAGACATTACTTGCCCTGTTGCTCTTTGGCTAGTCTATATTCAAAAAAAGCTCTGCTACTTTAATTTGAAGGCTTCTTAAGTCACTATGTAACTGTTTTCTTGTTCATTGATTATCCATATAGAGTTCAAAAGATTGGTTCACAGATACACACTATTTCTTAATCCTTGATTAATGCAGATGAACAAATGAACTCATGCTATAGGAAAGAAACGTCCCAATGTGTGGACCTTAATATCTATAATTCTTCAGCTAGCATGGCTGTCTGGAAAATAACCAAGTTAAAGAAGTTGCTATAGGAAAGACTTGTGTTGGAGATGGTGTGAGTTTGTATGGAGTCCTTTTTGCTGTTACTCTATGATAACCCATTTACATATATAATATGCACTTTGTCTACATGTTCAGTTTAGTTTTTTATTACTGAGAAAAGTTAACAGGACAGTTAGTAATCTATTCACAAGAAATAATGTAAGGAATCCATCTAAAGTGAAAGTCTTATTGAAATATGCCTGGTGAATATAACTGTAAACCAAAAGTTCCTGCCAAGTCAACTTGAAACTCTCACTGGATTCTTCCGGGATTATTTTGCTTAGATATGTTGACTTCAGACACTTTTCCAATGCAGCCAGTCAGATGAAGCCACAAGTTCATTTCATTGAGGCTATGAAACTTCCCCCCAGGGAATGGTGATAGAAAAAAAAATACAAGTAATTGCACCAACTTTAGACTTTTTCTATGGATATACTGAGCGGAGAAGGAGGAGAAAGTCCTCTTACTAAAACCCATCCATCAAGAGTTCTGCGATGTAGTGGCTTTTCTAAGTTAAAATAGCATAATTCCGGCTTTTTTATGGCTGCAGTATATCTGAAAAGGAACTGTGCTGTGAAAAATCAAGTATCTCTCTCTCTCTCCCTCTCTCCCTCTCCCTCTGTATGTATGTGTGTATGTATGTGTGTATGTATGTGTGTGTGTGTATATAGATAGATAGATAGATAGATAGATAGATAGATAGATAGATAGATAGATAGATAGATAGAAAGAAAGAAAGAAAGAAAGAAAGAGATAAAACCCACGGCATGCCCAAATATGGGAGGAAGTTCACTACTTCCATTCTCTGTCCATCGGCTCGTCACAAGAGACCATCCAGGCAGAAACCCAATATTTTTACTGTTGCCTTTGTTACATTTTGTGTTGTATTTGTGCTGATAAATAAATAAAGGGAGACTAGTATAGATCTATTTCAAGCTATTTAGTTCTCATCAGAATGAGAATCCCAGTAAGGGTATGGCTAGCTGATGAGAGCTAAATAGCTTGAAATAGATTTATAATAGTCTCCCTTTATTTATCAGCACAAATACAACGCACATATATATGTATGTATGTATGTATGTATGTATGTATGTATGTATGTAATATACATATATACACATATACATATATATATACACATACATACACACACACAAAACATACACACACACACACACACACACATATATATTGCTTGACTCCTTTCTCTACCCACCTCATTTTCTGTTACCATTATTAAGCTCCATTATAGATTTATTAAAAACAAAAAAGGAGGAAATGACCCACATAACAATACATCCTTTCTCATAACATGGAACACCTTTAAAAGGGGGGGAGGGAGAAACCAGATCAGTAGAGTAACAACAACAACAACAAAGTAATTCTGGTATGAAAAAAACAAAAAACAAAATAAAAAGACTGAGAAAACAGATTATCTTTAGCACTAAAATAACATTAAATAGCAGGAAATCAAGCAACCCACACTACTAGAGCAGTGATAAATTTTGGTTCCTCGTGTAATTGGGGGGGGGTGAGCTTGCTGACTTTAATGCTCTTCTTTCCACCCCTTTTCAGAGAAGGACCTTGCTGCCCACCTACCAGCCTGCAACAGTGGGAAAGCATTCATATTGTTTATTCTGACATTTCAGCTGCAAAAGGTCAGAGCTAAGGGCAATTTCTATAGCAAGCAATAAACAGATTTTATATTGGATCATTTTTCACCGGATCTTTGCTTGTTCTTATTCAGACTACTTTGGACTCTTCGCGCTGACATTTACAGAGAAGCTGAGAAAGGGACATGGAGTTCACTGTCCAGAACAACATTGTAGAGGTACATTTTTGTCGGATCTAAATAACAAATGCAACTTGCAAAATGCTTTTTTGTAGTATTGCAGCAAAGATTAAGACTCTCAAGGACTTTAGTGCATACAGCAAACTTCATCGAGAGAGATTGAGAGAGGCTTCATGCTGAGTCCTAAAGCAGGGTCATACTTCACTTTTGAAAAGGTCAAGGGTCATAATCCAAACTAGGACCTCTTTCAGGACAAAGGGGCAAGGGAACCAAGCACAACATTAAAAATAAATTAAATTAATTCTAATTCAAAACCAACATTAAGATTGCAATGAATACAGTTCAAATAATTAATCCCCTATTTTGTAATTTTCCTTTTTTATCCCTGTAAATGCTACTGTTTGTAACAACATCTGGGAGGACAGCAGTGGATCCGCCCAACAGTACTAAGGACTGCATGCATTCTTGGAGTTTCAAGTTGAGTATGCTTCTCATTCATAACAACAACAACCCAGGGGTGGGTTCCGGCAGGCACTACTGCCAATTCGCTCTTCTGCACGCTGCGCACGCATGGGCACTACAATTAAAAGTGTTCTGCACATACACAAAACTGAAAAACAAGATGGCAATGCCATAGGCACCGCCCAGAGAACCAGTTTGGGGACATGGCAGGCCTGGGTCGCTACCGGTTCCAGCGACCCAGGCCGCCAAACTACTATCGGTTTGGCCTAACTGGTCTGAATTGGTAGGAATCCACCACTGCCTTCAATTCCCAGAACTCCCTTCCCAGAAGTTCACGCACCTTAAAATTGCCAAGATTACCAAACGCTATCCTAGATGTTTTAAATCAGAATACCCCTTGAATCTAACCATGACACCCTAACTTAGGATCCATATGAACTAGTGGCTATGGATTTTGCAGATATTCAGTTGCTTAGTTTTGGCATACTTGCTCTGTCAACTTTATTTTCTCTTTTATTTTGCTAAAAATTGCTCTAACATCCATATGATTCTGCTCAGCTCCCTATTGTAACTAGTATCAAACTGTTAATTTCATAATGTTATGTTCATGGGTTTTATTCAAAGAATCACTATTCTTAAAAAAAACATAGATTCTGTACCCTACACAGAGGAACTCAGCAGACATAATGTTCTCTAGTTCACTCCCTGAGTGAAATGTCAAAGTAAGCAGTGCAGTAAATGTGAAACACTGAGAGATAAGCCCTGGCTTACTTAATTTACTGAATAAATAATTAGAGTGGAATGGGGGGTGGGGGATAATAAGCATGAAAAAGTTTTTCTACTCTCAGACTGCAAATATGTTGGTATATAGAAAGATCTAAGAACCCTTCAATATGTTTTTCCATTGGTTATCTGGAACAATTCTTGGGATAATA